CGCACACACGTCTCGGTTGTCCCGGAAGTCGAAACGATACATGTCGCGGTTATGATTTGCGACTGCCGTGCCGCATTTTAAACGCACACGCGACGCGAAATCTTAGCTTGGTATAATGCATTATGTAAATACGCCAATGTGACCGATGCATTTTACTTTTATCCGATATCAACGATGTCCACCACGAGTATTTGATTCTAATATGGGACATTAGGAGATGTTAAACCGACGTCATTCATCATAAAACCCTTTATCAAATCTCCGCAAACGGAACTCTATCGAGTATCGCTTTATCTGTGCCGAAGGCCTTAAAAGGACTCCTGTTTCGCATTAGCCGGCCGTGCGATCTCGATAGTTCCGAGTTGGTGTAAAAGCTCATAAAGAATTTCACTTCCGACACAGGAAGGTACATAATATCGGTGTGCGCCGTACATCAGTAGATATATTCCCGCAACCCCCGCTGTGCCGAAGAAACGACGGAGGCGTATCTACTCTCCGTGTTTACCGTAGACCTATATACTCCCGACCTAGAAGAGCCATCCAGGATCACATGGGCTCGCCGTGCACTCTGACATGTATACCGGTGCAAACCGAGGCTGTAGGTGTGTCGAGGCGAGACGCTAAAACGCCTATCGACATCGCGCAGAATATTTTAACGTGATCGCCTACTTTCGCGGGGCACGTTTTTACCTTGTATTACACGCGAGATTTATCGTTTCGATGACTCAATGAATTGATTTATTCCGCATTCTCGATTTCGTGAATTTGAGAAATTTAAAAAATAAATGAAATCATTATGATTTAACAATTTATGATTCGAAATGAACTAAATATTTAAAATTTCTAAACCAGATGATTTAACGCACAAAATATTTTTTTTACAAAAGCTGATTTTTTTTCAAAAATATTAGATATTAAATATTTTAAATCGGTTATTAAATATTTTTAATTCAGATATAAATATTTTTATATTCGAAGCGTCTAATCTTTATAATATATTATTTCTAATAACGTATACTAATAATAGCGTTGGCTTACATTGGCAATTTATTTTTTCTTTTGATTTATTCTTGTTAGAGTCATAATTCTTGTTTCTTGTAATTTTTAAATTTATTAATCTTTTTTAAATAAATATAGTAATTAGTTTTTCTAATCTGCGTTTAAGGAAACTTGACGTAAATTTTTTGTGTGAAATTACTCTGCAAAAAGCGTGCTAGGAATAATTATGGTTAATCTTTAATGCGGAAGTATGCAGCTGTTTAATCGCGAATCTCCGTCACGAAGCACTACCTTTCTTTTTTTAGGGTAGTAATGATCGTGCGAGATTATTCGGTAAGGATGTTGAGAGTGCTTCCTGCTGTGTTTGAAGAACGCTACAATCTTAAGATCAGTCCGTGAAAGAAAGGGGTCTTCCGATCCATCCGTTTCAACATATTTTTTTTCTGTTCATCAATCGGCTTAAAGATAACAGATAGAAATCTGAGCTGACGGTAATTGCAAGTTACTTGATTGCAATTGAACAGATAGTTATTCCTACATTATTTTCCATCTAACTCGTAAACGTCAAAATCACTCAATATTTCTATTTCAGTAGAATGTTTTGTAGATACGATGAATGTTTAGATATGTATGTATATAGATATTTGAAATTTTTGAATTGTAATTGAATTTTTATCAATATTTACTTTTAAAGAGAGCGATGAGTAGACAGTGATCCAATATTCTGTCCAATGTTTTTAATGACACAAGTTCTCTAAGTTCTCTTATTTTTTATTTATTCTAAGGATATATTATATACTATTTCTTCTGTTTAGTTTCTCTCGATCTTTGTGGGAGAAAAGCAATTTTACGACTAGCTGTTTCTCCAGATCTGGCAATAATACGTTCGTTCTCTAAGGACTTTGCAGAGCGAGGATTTGCTGGAAAGACGTTCGACGATCTAGAATTCGTATCTTATCGACAAGAAGAGACCTTTGTCTTTAGTAAACAGGATTTAAGTCGATAAAACATGTTTCTCTGGTATAGCTCAGGCCTTCCTGTGCTCTGGCACAAGCGGTAGTTTAATTGCGCTCAATTGCAACTTCGGCACAACAAATAATACTCTAATCGCGTCAGATTCATTCCCGATGCCATCTTCGCAACATCAATTACGCAACAAAACGGCGAACTTGTTTCATGCTTGTATTACTTAAAACTTCGAAGTTTGATTGACATGAAAAATCGTGTGCGTGATTAAAATTGGATTAATGGTAACTGTCATTAAATTATCCCACCAAGTAGCAGCGGCACGTGGCGACGCAAAACGCATCATTAATACAATTATTAACACTCTCACGTAACCTACAATTGGCTTTGAATGATTTAATACTTCTGATTTTAAACCCACATTTTTGATTATACTTGATGTAGTGTTAATTACGCGAAAATCGTATTCTAATCCCACGTAAAGTCAAAATATATTTTTAACGAGGTTTGTTATAGTATATATCTTCGTCACGCGGTTTACGGACCTACTTCGAATTTTGCTTAGACTACATCAAAGCCGACATCGCATCGCCGACTACATATGCGTTTCGTTTATGTAACAAATTTGCGTTTAAGCTAGCGCAGTGAGTTCCGGAATGTATTATCCGACATTATAATTCCACCGCTACTCTCTCTAGCTATATCTCTAGCTTTACTTAAAGGTTGATCGTTTATTAAGAGATGCAGTACCGTTTTTCTTTTGATAATAACAATTTTATAAAAGTAAGAGAAACTTAAAAAGTAAGAAAAACTTGTGAAATATAAAATTGTCTTCGTAATAGAACGGCTTGTTGGAACAGTGGACTAATTTTTGTATAAAAACGGAATTTTGTATAAATTTTGAATAAATTCTAAAATTAGCAGTGGAAAAACATTACATTAACTTCACAACATAACTGAGCGTGTATGATAGTGGTATTTTTCCATCATTTTAATTTTAGAATTTATTTGTTCTGTTTTTACAAAATGTGAGTTAACCGACCTGTTGCGGGAAGCTCTTCAATTCTATTAAGCTTATGAACACGTAGCGTGGACGCAACTTATAAGCTTAAAACTTCTGATTTCATGGGCCGAAAATGTACGAAGTTGGTCAAAGCACAACATCTCATGTATTTCTATCTTTTAAAAACTCTATCAAAGCACGTAGCTTCTGCGCGATATTGTGGAAGCATCAAAAGTGCGTGTCTATCCCAAGCTTATTCGGGCACCTTTGCGAAACGAGCTGCTCTCACGAACTTGTCGATAACAGTTCGGTAACCCCCGGGCCTTTCTACGTTCGCGCCACGATCACCGACTACCACGAGAATTCAATTATCCCGCCGTTCAAACCACCGGCCGGGTGAAGATAATACGAGATGAACAAGCTAGGGGAGACCGGCCATCTTGGGCAATGGTAGGTCCGGGCTCGGGAATTCTCTAACTCTCCGCATGTCTCGGATGAAAGGCTCAACACGACCCAATGGCGCACATACTCGCCGAGTACCCTTCACGTGCCAACGATTTCCGCAAAGCTCGGTCATTTACCGCCGAGTCGTGGATACAAATTTTGATTGAGTTGTAAAACGCTCTACTGCCAACAACTGCAACGTGAATAATATCTTTTTTTGTCAGATGTTTCTTAGAAAAAGATAGGATTATTCACTACGTAGAGCAATGCTAAATCAGTTTTTGCTTGTTCCAAATAATAATTTATATTAATAATAATTATTACAATTTAAAGCCACAATATCTTTTGAGTAAAAACTTCTATAATTGATAAATAATCGTTAATTAATTGTAATAATTTGATAAATCTAAAAAATAATAAATAAAATGCCAATTTGAGCCAACACTGGTTATTCATGTATATTTTATATAATACCATTTATTCAAAGTGAATATTATGATGTATACGTTTCGACTTACAGTCAAGATCCTCTTCAGTACAGAAATATTTACTTAAATTATTAATTATAAAATTACATAATACGAGTATGAACTATTAACGTATAAAATACAAAAAAAAACTGTGGTAGAGATATTCGAGTTAATCTTGATCATCAAATTACTAAGTAATGTGAACATTCTACATTCGTCGACCAAACAGTTAGGTCGTGTAATAATTCTAAATTTGTTTCATTAAATGGAACAGTCTAATGGAACATGTACAACATATCTTAATGAAACAGTTCAATCTTGACAGTTATTAAACTTAGTAATTTGGTGACCAAAATTAACTTAATCGAATCATTCGACAAATAGTTTAAATAAATTTCTTTATACTGAAGAGGACCTTGATCGTAAGTCGAAATGTCATAATATTCACTTTGAATAAATGGTATAAAATACACACGAAAGACCAATGTTGGCTCAAATTAGCATTTTATTTATTATTTTTTAGATTTTTCTTTAGAGCCTATTGATTATCTTGTTTTAATTTGATGAATAATTGTCAGTTTTATTTAACTTCTCCCTTTATAGGTATTCGCCAATTCTCTCATTCTTTTTTATCAAAATTGTCGAAAATATGTAATGGTATTTTTGCTTTAAATAACATGTACGCTTTAATTCAATGAATGCGAGGTTATCTTACTATTACACTGAGAAAAAAAATTGTTAACTTGACCAAATGCGTTTAGATCGTAATGATTATTTAGTTCAAATATTTATATATTTAGATTAACAAAATCTTGTTTAAGATTAACAAAACATATTATTTGTTTGAATTAACAAATATTTAATTGAATTAACAAATATTTGCTTGACAGTCCGTGGTCGTTACATTTAGTTGAATCAATTAATATTTTTTTGAAACGGCAACTTTTTTTCTCAGTGTACTATAATGTACTGCAATAGTATGGTCGCGGGTTTACTCCATGTTCGTAATTCTCTCACTCTCCTCTATTTCTTAGACGTGTATGAACTAACGTAGATATATAATAACAATTTTTGCCAATATTGTCTATAGTGCATTTGCAATTTTTTTCTAATTATAGCTCTGAAGACATTGAATCATTTGAACAAGGAAGGTGAGGCGCTTGCTCTTCAAGATGATCTCACAACGCACCCCACCTTGGCCTTGATGCGGCGCATCCTTGCAGATGCACAGGTAACATTAGCAAATTCTAAACGAGCGCTTTGCAATACTAATCTATGGCACATCGAACAATATTTAATTTATTCAGATTTTCTTAACACAACTGAAAATACAGTATTACGTGTAATCTGATCTATAATTCTATCTTGATATTTAATAGAAACATAGATCGCAACATACTTAGTTAAAACACGCTATTATAATTCGTCTCACGCGAACTCCACGCCCGATTCAAACATCCCCTACGCCAGAAGTTAATTATCGAACAGATATAGGGCTGCATATAAGCCCATTGATATCGAAATTTACGTATGAAATTGGATATTAGGTATGTATTAACAAACGCCACATCGCGGATTTTGATAAAGTGTATATTTTACGTTTTTTTAAGTTTTTTATGAAAACTTTGAGTGGAGAAATTGCAAAATAGGATTAATGTTATTAATCTTCTAACGCGCGCTGTAAGATAATTTTCAGAATGTGTTTTTAGGAAAGGGTGAGATTGGATCCAATCTAATATTCTATCTTGTTCATTTTTCTTATTCATGTAATCTATATACAAAATAGAAAAAAGAAGTTAAATGATAATATGAACTTTTCCTTTGTCGATTTATAGATAAAAAAATAAATAATTAAATATAATAATTCAACTGAAATTCGATTTTGTTAATAAAAAGATCAATTTTATTTAAATGTTCTTTCTTCTCAAGGATTGAATTTTTACGATTGAATTTTAACGCGAGAAGAAAGCATCGAGAGGCGAAGAAACAATTTCCATAACCATAGAAAATTGATGTGTGTTCAAACTGGAAACTCGTCAAAAATATTTCTTCATTGTGAGGGGATGAGCAGCCCTCTCGAGAGACGAGAGATGCGCATCGACTTTCAAGAAAGTGAGGAACCGAGAATTCGGTGGGGTTAATTGTTAGACGAACAGAGGGATCGTTCCATTGATAGTGGATTCCTTTGTCCACCGTCAACCATTGTTACCTACGCACGCGCGACCCCCGACTGTGATTTGCCGACATTTTCCTACGGCTGCTGTCTGATGTTTATTACGAAGAGAGATGTTGGATGTCGTCGGGGAGAATTGTTCGCACCAGTTGGAAGTAAAAAAAGTGACCGGTGGTAACGCTCGTGACGGATTTATCGATGCAAGTAAAGTAACAAAATAAGAGTTGGGGTGGAAAAAGTGTCCTTCGCGTGATTCGTTGTTAGGTGTTTCGTATGAACCCTTCTGTTAGATATAAGACTGTTTCGTGTCATATGTTTCATATCTCGTTACGATCAATTCAACTAGTACTCACGTGAAATTCTTATGAGAAATTTTTCTATCTAAAAATTTCATGTTTAAACGGAATAAGAACGGACTATTTCGCAACGATAAGATAATTAAATGGTTCCTCAACAATTCTTTTTAATTTTATAATTTTATAATTTCAACTAATAATTAATTTATGCTAATAACAAGTCTCTATTTGCTTGCGTAACTAATTAAACGAAACCACTCTCGGCGATTTGTGCTTCTCAAAGTAGTCGAGAATTAAACAAAAAACACAGGTATCTACTGTTCACCATCTAAAGTTGGAAAGTCAAAGTTACGCGTCAGGAACATATAAATTAATCTATTAGAATGAAATATCGAGAATGGCGTCTTGAGTAGGCTTTAAAGACGAATGCAAAGGATAAAATCCTTTTGTAATGATTCTGGCGAAGCCGTGCCGATAAAATAAACATCGAAGAGATATTGTTTTGCTACTGGTTTCTACCTTAGATATCTCATGATGAAATGCAAATTTATACGTATATAAACTTGTATGTAAGAAAAGATTCACGAGAATTGAAAACTTGAGAATAAATAAATGCAAATAGCAATGTCTCAAATATTTGCACGGAAAAAGAACTGTTAACAAAGTATCTAAAGATGTAACTAGATACAGATTTTGTTCGACTATCGAAATAATTATTGATGTTTATGCTAGTTGTTGGAAAATTGTCAAAAATTGTTTGCAACATTGTTGATTATGCTTGAGCGTCCACAATTATTTTAATGGTACGACAAAAAAAACATTTTTAGATCTAGCTAAATTTTTAAATATTTCAGCAAAAATTTCCTTTTTTCTATGTAGTTTTTTATTTAAAAAAAAATGCAAATTTTATTTACAATCTGCTATCAATATCTAATTAAAGTTATAGTTGATATACATTCAATCAACACAGTTGATTTGTATATCCAATCGAATTGATTCAGGAATTAATTAATGTATAGCACACGTGCCAAAATTTCGTATCTTTCGTTAATTAAATTTGTGAATGCAATGCGTTTGTTTTGCCTACGTAAAACAAACGATATAATCATCGTTAATATCTCACTGTCTCACAATAATTGCAATATCGCTTTTAATACAAAAATCCGCGCGCTACGGAAACATGTTATTCGATATTGATCACGCTGCACGCGCGAATAAAAGGCGAACAGGAATGACCGAACTTCCATTTTAGCGTGTCATTCATTTGGAGCGTAACGCGCGTCGAAAGCACTCGCTGTTAAAAGAGCCGTCAGACTTGTTAATGTTTGATATCATGATTTTCACAGGGCGGATAGATTAATGTTGGCGCTTGGCTAATTTCGTGGCGTATTGCCGGCGATACGATGGTGAATTGCAGAACGTTTTATGCAACATAATGCAAGAGATGCAATTACATCACAAATACAGAATCATGCGTATAAATACCCCATCGGGGCTTCAATTGTTATTATATTATTATTGAATTTTTGTTATTTTATGATACATATATTTGTATATCAATTGAATATATATTACAAGTCTGAACGTGTAAAAATATATTATTAGAGTTCGCATTGGAAGAATTTGCACATTTCAGAGTTGTTATGTAAGATTTTTTTAAAGATTTCAAATATATTCATATAAACAGATCTGATAATAATATATTTTATGACAACTGATTATTAATTTAATATTATAAGTCTGAGTTTTATTCTCGAAAAATATCGCATCTGGAAATATTGTATATATTACATATATTATAGATGTTTTATCATTTCATATTTTTTGAAAATAAAACTTCCGAATATATAAATATTTATTATTTATTGGAGGATCGCATCAGAAAAAAAAATCATGCGTTTTGGAGTTATGCTACGCAAGATTTTTAGAACGTTTCGAACCTTCATCATCAGATCTGGTAATGACATATTCTCGGTGGGAAGATCTCGCGGAAGAGACGCAGATTCGGATTATTATAGTTAAATCACACGCGACATGTCGCGCATAAACACGTTATCTGACTTCAAATATAGCATTCGAACGTGGCGGACGTGGCAATTTTGAGATTAATGCAATCAAACCGATGGCCCGCAGTTTGCTGACAATGGACACGTGCACGGCGAAATTAAAGTTGAGCCACGCTTGCGTTTCGCAATTATAACGTCATAAAAATCGCGGCAATAATTTGTATCCGGTGAGGTAACATAATGTGAAGCGAGAACATTATCATGTCATGGGATTAGTGGAGGAATTTCCTGTAATATGACTGAATATCACGTGTCAATTATCTTACGTTAATTACGGATCATATAACGCTCGCATATCTAATCTAAATATATAATTATCATCAATTTAAATGTTATAATTATTCAAATATATAATTGGAAAATGACACGAAACGCGTGTAAGGTGAATGGAAATTAACATTGGAGAATTATCTGTCATAGAATATATTTATCATCTACATATATATTTGGTAATATTTTTAATTTCACAATAATATTATTATTCAGAAAATCTAGATTTTAGTTCCAATTTTAGTTACCATTGAACGATCAAAATATCGACGATCTCATCTATATATACATTGTACATTGAGAAATATATGAAATGCATGGTCGTTCTTTGCTGCTTCAGCGCAAACAGCCCTTAAAAAGCACGCGTTACAGCTTTTGAGTAAGGCAACAGAAAAAGTCGCGCTTTCAATCGCGTCCCCGTTTCCAAAAGATGATCAATCGGCCACCGAGCAATATCCGGCGGAACGAGAATTTCCACTCGACGTTTCAAGGCGAAATCGCCCCATTATACCCGCGTTTGAATTTCGATCTCCTGCACATATCAGCGTATCTATGCGACAGAAACGGGAATTCGTAGAGAGAGGAACGAGTACAACAGAAGGCGTGTACCCGAGAGAGAAAGAGAAAGCTGTCGTGCGCGCCGGTTGGGTCGCAGGACACATAGAAAAGGCGAGACGTGACGAGGCATATGAATTGGGCATAATGTCGCCTTAACGTACATACACCGTAGAACGGATACGCGCTGACAGAGCCGGTAACAAAGTTTCTCAGCCGCTGGATACGATCGATATGAGCGATATCACAAAGTTCAAATGCGGCTTCGCTGCGACAAGAAACGTTGCCGTGAATCTCGCGAGAGTGGCGACAGTAATCAGAAATTTATGAAAACGATACAGCTTCTCGAAGTAGCATTTCGAATGTTGAACAATTTTTTCTTATTTTTTCAGAGAGATTGCTTTCTTACTTAAAAAATGATTATGAAAATAATGATGATTAAAAAATGATGATTAAATGACGATTAAAAAATTAATTTAGAAAAGGGGAAAATATGTTGTTTTTTCAACTTGACAGAAAATTATTGGCTAATCAAATAATCGATAAAAAGAATATGCTTGATATAATCGAATGTTATTTTTGTTATTTTTTTGCATTTTTTAAAAACCACATCTTTGAATTATGACGCTTTTGACTGGTAATTTTTCTTCTAAAAATATAGAAAATTTTTCATAAATTGCAAGTACTCGAAAAATGTACTTTTCATGTATTTAATAACTATGTGTAACAGCTTTGTTATTAAAAATATAATAATGACAACAAAGATAGCAAAGCATGTTCTCAAATTATTTTAGAAGATTCTGACATTTTGTTTTTAAATTTTTAAATTGTGATATTTTTAATAAAATTAGTTCATTTTTGATTATTTAAA